GCGGCGAGGGGGAACTGGCCGCCGGCGGCCGGCGTTGGCGGCGTCACGTCGGCCGAGCGGCGCTGGAGCAGCCCGCGCACCAAAGGCGGCGGGAACTGCCCACGTCCCACCGCACGGTCCACCCCGGCCTCAGAGACGCAAGCAAGTCCCAGCGCAAGAGCCAGCCGAGGATTTATTTGGCTGCCCGGGGTGAAGCCCACGCGCCGTCCCGGGGGGGAAATGACGCATCTGCTGGCGCTTCCCTGGCTTCCTCTGCGCTGCCCGGAAAAGCCCCGGCTGGACTTCAAGGGCAAGGCACGCTGCCCCCGGGCCGTGGCGCAGCGGGCAGAGGACGTCCAGCGGCGGCAAGAAGTAGGGAGCCAGGCAAGAAAACCAGGCGCGCCTGGAGCAGCGCTTCCTTTGGCATAAGGACCCCTCGTACGGCCTCAGGCGCCGCGTCCCATTTCCTCGGGCTTGGGGGCGAGGGGGGGTGAGAGGAAGGTAGCAGAGCTCTATGGAATAATACTCTGAGTCTGAGATAAGCAACTTCCTACCCAGGAAACTACATTTGGGAAAATACTAATCTTCACAGAGCATGTAAAATCTGCACCAAAAAGTCAGGAGTATTGTGTATTTGCAGCTAAATCTGCTGCAGAGACAACAACAGCTGAGAAACGTGGGACTGATTACAGACGTGCTCTCCCTGCCTTGATACTGGCCCATCACATGATGTCTTTCAAGGGAAGGAGAGAGTGATGAGTTTGCAAGAAGAGGGATGGGGGGAAAAAAAAAACCACACACAGTGGAAAGAAAAAATCTGTGCACAGCTTTGAGAGCAGGACTACTTACCCTTTACTGCCTCCCACTGCCTGGGACTGACAGCTCTGCTTGTGCCCATTTTCTCATGCCTTCTTCCACCTTAGCTTGAACACCATCCTTCACCCTCCGTCACTCATCCAGCACGGTCTTATCTGCCCATCTCCAGCTGAGCAGACTACAAATCTAGGTCTAGCACGTGAAGAGAGCCTGGAAGCAACAGCTACTCCATGCCGAGGAAGGGGTTAAGTCGCACTGAAACTCAGAGTGCAGTGAAGCTGTAACCACCAGTCTGGTTTTGCTGGTTTAGGGGCAGGTGAGTGGCTAGGACTTGTCACCCCCAAACCATAAGAAGTCATCTTTTTCTTTCTTTCTTTCTTTCTTTCTTTCTTTTTTTTTTCCTGCCTGAAACTCAGTCTCCAAGCTCTCTTATAATGCAGGCCCATGCTTCCTGAGGAGCGAGCAGTGGGCTCACTCAAAGGTCAGCCTTAGCTGACTTGAAACTCAGCCCACACTTGCCTGAAACTCTGCCAAGCTCTTCCAAAAGGCTTGTATTCTGGCCTGAGTTTCGGGTTGCTAATCCAAGTCTCAGTGGGTTTCAGGTTTCCTTGTAAGCTTTGGCTTCGCTCTACACAAGAATAGCCTCAGGCTGCATCTACTCCGCTGGCTGGACTTCTCCTGCGGGGACAGGGGTGGCAGCAGGCAGACAAGTCCCTGGTGCCAAGAAAGAGGAGGCAGGGCAAGCAGGAGGCACAGCTCACTCGGAGGCACAGGACGAAGACGGGCACGGCGTCCGTGGATCCTCGGCGTTGGCCCTGGACGTGCCGCTCCCCGAGGGGCAGGTTGTGCAGCTCCCCAGCTTCGCCTCTCTCTGGGTGCTCCCACCCGGACAGCCCAGGGGCTCTGGGCCCACCCGCCTCTGGTTGGGGGCTGTGCACAGCCGGATAACCCGGCCGGACAAGCTGCATCCAGATCAGTCATCCAGCTCCGGGGAACTGTTGCTAGCTGTCAGGGGACAGGCAAGACCTGACCCGGCGCGAAGCTTATCAGTGCAAAATTAGTTCGCTGTATTGTTTTCTTCTGAATTACAGCGTAGTAATGCCAGCTCGATGCATGACTGCAGTGTTTCTGATTTGGTACTAGCAGCCTTAGGGCCAGGTAGCCTCTGTCACATCACAGCCGTCCCACTTTTCACGTTGCTCACTGGTCTGAGTAAGACAAACCAAACATGCCGTGCTCTCTCTT